ACTATTAACGCGAAAGGTTCATCAAGGGTTTATGTACTCGATTTCTGTCGCGGAACCAACGCGGAACCACAGTCAAGAAAAGGGGGGTCGTGGCAGTAGCTTTCGGAAGAAATTTAAACAAAAAAAAATGTCTGACCAAGATGTCAGCCCGAGGAATAGAACCGCTTACTCTTTATATAGAAGGGAGAATATAAATAGGTGATGGAGATAGGGGGGTTGAAGTAAGAAACGGTGATTAAAAATAAAGCGCCACTTTTTTTTTTCTTCGTTTCAGACCCGACAGTCTTGGAGGGAATATTCTATTACATGGACGACGACTGCCTCGTGATGGACCTCGAGTACCACGGACATCGTAAGACACCGCATGATGACTTCATGGGCAGCTATATAAGACTGGATAGCTGTGACAACTTAATATTATCATAGTGTATAGCTTCTTAAGCTCGGCCTAACTCCAGGTGGCGCACACAAAAACTCGTATACGCCACGGCATAGAGTTCCTCAAATTTAACGAGAGGGCACTCTGGCGCTGCGATCGTTCAGCCACCATGGGAGTGATGGGTAGCACACACATTTGCCTATAGTCTTCGTACTTGCGGCTTCGTTTATTGCTGTGTTTCGGTTTTGTTTTGAAAGAAAGATTCAACCCTTTTGAACTTCGTGAGTCGATTTGGAAAGTAAGTCTAAAAAAAAATAAAATGGTGAAGCGCAACCACTGAACATTTGCTAATACTCGTTTCGTAATAAAACAGCTTCAAGCCACACGAACACACGCACGGAGCCAAAAGCAGACCAGAAGTACGAATAATGGACAAATGTGTGTACTACCCATCATTTCCATGCTCGCTGAAGCGCCGTGCGTTGCAGCTACCGTAGACACTGAGCGCCAGAGTTTCCTCTTTATGTGCCACGGGAGTTAGGCGTGTATGCACAGCAGCGTACAGAAGGTACACGGTAGTGGGGTATGCCAAGAGAGAACAGGGAGTGCAGGGGAGTGATGGGCAAGAAGGTTGGAGGCCGAGGTGAGAAAGGGTAAAGCCTAGTAAAGAAACGAGGGGTACCGAAGAAAGGAGCCGGGAAGGAGTCGGGTAGGAGCCGGGAAGGAGCCGGGAAGGAGCCGGGAAGGAGCCAGGAAGGAGCCGGGAAGAAGGGGGACGTGAGCGTCAAGGGGAAACTCTGCTCGGCAACGGGCAGAGGATGAATGAAATAAGGAGGATAAGAGATGAGAAGCGGAGAGGAGGATAAGAAGAAATAACTAAAACGAAATGAAATTCCTTGCCGAGGCGAAATTCGAGAATGGGTACCCACGGTCTGGAGGCGAGCGCCGTAACTATATACTCGGAAGACGAGACAGGGAAACGAGGCAAGCAATTATGGGACCATATGATTGCGTTGCTATGAACAAACGAGCCCCGCCGCGGTGGTCTAGTGGCTAAGGTACTCGGCTGCTGACCCGCAGGTCGCGGGTTTAAATCCCAGCTGCGGCGGCTGCATTTCCGATGGAGGCGGAAATGTTGTAGGCCCGTGGGCTCAGATTTGGGTGCACGTTAAAGAACCCCAGGTGGTCGAAATTTCCGGAGCCCTCCACTACGGCGTCTCTCATAATCATATAGTGGTTTTGGGACGTTACACCCCAGATATCAATCAATCAGAATTTGGACCTTGGAGATGGGAGATGGAAGAAAAAAAAGACCAGTGCCCAGTTAGCTACCCTAAACGGGGAGGAGGGAACGGGGCCTCGCCTCCACCGTGTTTATCTGACATAAACGCTCATGTCAGGGAAACACGGAAGAGGCGACGCCAGAAAAAAATACAGCTGCAGGAGTAATTCTACATAAAACAGTGATTGGAAGGGCAAGAAAACTTTGCCACATCCAGTTAATTGCCACTTCAGCTTACGATGGAGACATTCTTACAGGTTCCTACCGCTCGAGTTTTGTGAGTGTTCTTTTCAGTGTATCATCTTCTAACAAACTACTCAGCAGGACCGTACACAATTAAGGAACTAAGAGACAGACAATCACCGACTTAGAAGTGATTTATTGAAAATACGTCGCAACCTTAGTGTCCAGCAAGGGCGGGACAGTTGTCTTCAGGGAAAGAAACACAGGCCACGAGATGTTGCAGTCCTTAATTATCAGGAATGAGGAAGATGTCTCCTCTGTATATCAGCACGTTTGACAAGGAGTTCGCTTATCTGTGCTGCGGTTGTCTACGTGGCCTTGATTGAATTTCATAATGATTTTTTTTAATTTCACTTGTTACTCTGTTAGTTTTTGACATTGACATGTCATTCCCGATAAAAACCATTGAAGGCGGTTGCCACGTGTCATCAATAGACCAGTAGACGACGACGATGATGATGATGATCCTAGGATCATTGGCACCTACCCAATCTGGGGGATCTGCCATGAGTCGGCTGGATCATACATACTGAATTATTTGTGAGAGTGCACCCGTCTGCTTCTTCTTTCGCTGTGTCCTGTCCTGCTGCGCTCTTCCGTCGTAACATGATCCCGTACCAACTCACCAGACTTCCTGCGTTAGCTTTTATTTTATTTTTCGTTTACTTCCAGAATGCCTTCTTTGGGTTCGCAAGGAAGTCAAAGACCGCGTACCGCAGGAATGCTTCGTACGCTTTGCGGATGCCTGCGGGGAGCCCACCCGCCAGCACAGGAGACAACTGTGCCCCGACGTCTAGGTCGACAACAAGTCTACAGGCAGTATATCACGACACAACTGTATCGCGATAGAGATAGTTTTGAATATCTGTACTCGTGCATCGAGGTACGCTCGCAAAATGTATTTGTACCTCAGTGGTGAAATACTTTAACAATGTATAGATTATGTCACGATGCAGTGTGGGACGCAGGTATCCAACTACTTTTTTCCCCTGCAGGGAAAAATGCAAACATGTCTCCAAGAAGGAAAGAAGACTTCTTAGTCCCGATACAATCAAATGCGCGCTACCGGTTGGCGGTACCATGAGGGTGGCGAAGGATCGCCAAACGCTCAGATTTGTTCATGTAGTGAAAGCCCATGTGGATCGACGACTTGAATGACAGGCAAGAAGGGTCGACGGAAAAGACCATGAGCATGCACCATGTATACTGGTACGCTACTGGAATCAAACTCATTCTCTCATTGCAAGGCAGAAAAGAGATCACGTATCGATCGTCATTTCGCGCCATTGAATAAATGAAATGCTGTCATTGATCACGGCGTTTGTGTAAAATTCCAACCACGCATTTGTTCTGGACGCGCGGGAACACTCGCGTACCGATTAGTCACCGTGGTTGCATTAGCCACCATGGTTAAGGAAGTTGTCATGCGTGACAACGAATCTGCATGCGCAAGTACAAGGAATCCCTCACCCGCGCAAGGCACAGTAGACAGGCAGATATATTCAGTGAAGATGTGGCCCTGTATATACAAGAGCGTACAAGTTCAGCACGCTGCAGAGCACGTGATATTGCCATCACAATCATCATCATCATCTACAGAAGCAGCCTAACTACACCCACTGCAGGGCAAATACCTCTCCAGTTACAAAGGGGCCTTCATAAATGTATTAAGCAACTTCATAAATGCATTAAAAATCAGGGGTGATGTTGAGGTGTCTCTTGTAAGTCTACTAGCGTATTTTGCATCCCACTCATGGCACCATTGTTAAAGTAACTCCCATATGTGTGTGCAGGGTCCCCCATTGGGAGTGGAAAAGGGAGGGCAAAGTTTTACCTCAGCGCTCCCCCCCTTTCTCCAGGTGCGCCTGATTAGATTATATAAACTGCGCGAAAAGTTCGGCCTCCTAAATGAAGCTCCTGTCCGAGTACGGGCTTCCACCATGCCAAGTAATGAGTATAAAAACCTCGTTCGTCTTTTCAAAAATTACAAAGTGCATGAGGCAAACGACTATCGAGAATTAAAACTTTCCCTAGAAATCCTGATTCCCTTATAAAGCTGAAAACATTATGTACCCAACCAGTGCATTTTCGTCTAAAACTATAGTGCAGCGGGTGAATATAGTGCTGTATTCGGTAGTAATAAGTATAATCTGTTGATTCATTTATCAATTTGTAGGTTTCTTTGGCAACTCATGATTACGGAGTTAAACAAGGAGAGCAGAAAGGTGGGTCTTAAAATGAATCTACAGAAAACGAAAGTAATGTACAACAACCTCGGAAAAGAGCAGCGCTTCAAGATAGGTAATAGTGCACTTCAAGTTGTAAAAAACTATGTCTACTTAGGGCAGGTAATAACCGCGGAGCCGAACCATGAGATTGAAGTAACTAGAAGAATAAGAATGGGGTGGAGCATATTTGGCAAGCACTCTCAAATTATGACAGGTGGATTGCCACTATCCCTCAAGAGGAAGGTATATAACAGCTGTATCTTGCAAGTACTTAGCTACGGAGCAGAAACCTGGAGACTTACAAAGAGGGGTCAGCTTAAATTGAGGACGATGCAGCGAGCAATGGAAAGAAAAATGATAGGTGTAACCTTAAGAGACAAGAAGAGAGCAGAGTGGATTAGGGAACAAACGGGGGTTAAGCATATCATTGCTGATATCAAGAAGAAGAAAAGGACATGTGCCGGGCATGTAGCGCGTAGACAGGATAACCGCTGGTCGTTAAGGGTAACGAACTGGATTCCCAGAGAAGGCAAGCGGGTTAGGGGGAGACAGAAGGTTAGATGGGCAGATGAGATTAAGAAGTATGCGGGTTATAAATTGGCAGCAGCAAGCACAGGACCGGGTTAACTGGCGGAACATGGGAGAGGCCTTTGTCCTGCAGTGGACGTAGTCAGGCTGATGATGATGATGATGATGATGAGGTTTCTTTGGCTGATCCAACTTCATCATGCATAAGAGCTGTCAGCTTGAGAACCTCTGTAGAACGTGTCATTTCCTCGAAAATAAAACTATATAATTGCTTGATTCCACAAATAATTCATTGGACAGGCTCAATGGCAGTGGCAGCAACAACCACATGATCACTCACTCGTTGTGGCAGTCGAACGGGTCGCAGCCGCTGGTGGGCTTCATGCTGCAGCTCTTGATGACGTCACCCGTGTCGAGTGACAGCGATGACAGGTTCCGGTGCTCCCTGATGGCGGTGACGACGGCGCTGGCCTGCCAAAAAATATTGTAGTTCTACTTGTAGCTGGGCGTTTCAGCACACACTCAGGAGCGGAAAATTACACGCTGTCACGAGTTCCCATAGGCGAATAACGCAAAAACACAAACCAGTCACACTTACTTATCGGCCAACATGGACAAAGAAAGCGGACGAAACAAGCTCGCTTCTCAGCGTAACTAGACTTTGTATTCTTCAGGTATATGGATGCTGGCGTAACCGCTGGTGCTCCCGTTAAGATGCAGGAAGTACGCGCCCCACTGTCGAAGTTCCACAGCAAGTCTTATTGAAGTCACAGATATCATTCCAGAAGCTTCCTACACACCAAGGCGCAGCCTCCACCAAGTGATAACATGTCTAACAGATAGGCTTGACGGGTAAAACCAGGTCGTGCACGAAATGTGAAAAAAAAAATGGCACAGTCACGCGCGATATGAAGGTTATCGCACGGGCCTAGTGGCACGTTTTAGAAACAGTAAAATGAAGATTGCGCATTCTTCTCGCCCTCGTTGGATGTTTCATGCTACAACAATCACCGCGTACACGACGAAATCTGCACCCCTCCTCTTTATATTTAGTTTTCCTATTCGTTGCAATTAAATGTATTCTTTGTGGGCTCTTATGACCATTGGCTATAAGAAAAATTTGTTGGTAAATATGTGTTAATCTTAGTGCTTGGCGCTGCTTCGTTCAATCAGTTTCCCGAGACGGGAGTGATAGCAGCTTAAATTAAGAATGAATGAAACCATGTTTATTCCACTTTGTTCGCGCCGAAGGCGCTGCGGTGGACAGTCAGGGCACTATAGCAGGGGGGGGGGGGGTAGAGCTGCCTCCGTTTTATTACCGGACGTCATGGAGGCAGCTAAGTGGGGGCCGCTTGAATGGCTTGAATCTTGTGGCTGTCGCGGAGCCGGTCGCCAACCGGTGGCGCGGCCGGGTCCTGGAGGAACATGATGAACAGCACAAAGAGCGAGCGAAACTTGCGTGATTCCACCCTCTCCTCGAAAGAGTATTCTGGAACGCGGCGCCGTTGTAGTTCGTGGTCGATTCTCGCGCGATAACCTTCAAACCACTCGCGATCGTACGCACGTCACTATGGGGAAGAAACTCGAGCAGCAGGCAAAGGTGCGTTGCTCATTCACTTACAACCCCCGTACGTTTTAAGCCCCGGCATCACGAAACGGTTTAGGCACGCCATAATGTGCGACTCCGGATGCATTTTGGCGAGCGCGAGGGCTCCTTTGACGTGAAGCTAAATTCATGTAAGAAAGGTGTCATTGCATGTCGCCTACCATTGAAAGGCTCACCGAAGGCAGCGCGACAAAGCGGCCAAGCGGGGTTTTCGAAGTGTTCAGACTGTATGCCTCCTTCGGCTGGCCACGCGGCAGAAGAGGTGGGCATCTCGAGCTTTTGCACACGTGTCGCTATGGCTGTCAGTGCTTCTTCCAAACGTACACAAGCGCCACCACCGCGCCTCCACTGCGTCGCGTTCTGATTGGCTGCGGCAAAGCGGCGCTCGAGAGCGATCGCCCTTGCCGTCTGGTATTTCTCCCGCTTTCGCCGCTTGGAGAGGAGGTTTTCCCCTCTTCCCGTGTTGCCGCCTCGCCGCTTTGGCCGCGCCACCTTCGGTGTGAACGGTGCGACACCTTATGGGCACCATCGATCCGAACTTCCTCTTTCGACGGCAGTGCCAAAACGCAGAGTAGCGAAAGAAAGGAGGAAAATCGGGCAGATGCGATGGCCATCAGCTACGACGTTGTATTTCTTGTCAAGGCACGAGAGTGTCTATTATCTGAAAGTTTCTAAGTACGCATGCGATGAGCGGGGAAACTCGAAGCGCGTCTTGGTCTTATTTACTCCCGCGACGAATTTTCACAGCGAAACTATAGGCCGATGACGGTGAAACATGGCTGATGAGCAAGAGCTAGATAGCACCCCTGTCAAGTGCACGGTGCAAGCTACCCGACGAGTATGCAGAATTACGTGCCTCCTCCTGCTTCCCTGTCCGTTTTCCTTTTCCTTGTTTTTCTCGCGCTTGCTCAAGATGGCTGACGGGCCAAACCCCCTTTGATTGATTGATTTGTGGGGTTTAACGTCCCAAAACCACCATATGATTATGAGAGACGCCGTAGTGGAGGGCTCCGGAAATTTCGACCACCTGGGGTTCTTTAACGTGCACCCAAATATGAGTACACGGGCCTACAACATTTCCGCCTCCATCGGAAATGCGGTCGCCACAGCCGGGATTTGATCCCGCGACCTGCGGGTCAGCAGCCGAGTACCTTAGCCACTAGACCACCGTGGCGGGGCGGTCAAACCCCCTTTGAGTCAAACTTGCATATTCATGTTCGAAATGTGTTACCAATGTCAATAATAATAAAATTGCTGGGGTGTAGCGCCTCAAACCACCGTATATGATTATGCGAGACGCCGCAGTGAAGGGCTCCGGAAATTTCGACCCTCCGGGGTTGAAATTCCGGAGTCCTACACTTTAACGCGCGCCTAAATCTATCGTATATATAAGCAGACGGGCCTCGAACATTTTCGCCTCCATCGAAAATGCGGTCGCCACGGCCCGGATTTGATCCCGTGACCTGCGAGTCAGCAGCCGAGTGCCTTAGCCACTATACCTTTGTGGTGGGTCAATAACCAATGTTAGGCGTCTCTCATAATCATATAGTGGTTTTGGGACGTTAAACCCCACAAATCAATCAATCAATCAATAACCAATGTTAGAAACCCTAAAGACATCAGCAGAGAGGCTCCTGCGTAAAACTCGAACGTTTACAACATATCGATTCACGTGTAACGAGCGATCACGTGATATCTTTTCAAGGTGAATAGTAAGTAGCCGATTTATTCATTCCGCTGCGAGCTCACATTACATGTGCAAATAATGCACACACAAACGAAGACATCAGGAAGAACTAACGTCATTAGCGCTTATTCACTGTCTTCTTGTGACTTCTGTGACCGCAAGGGACTGCTCGTGCCTCCGTGTGCACTAGCTGTCTGGAGCTGAATAAATACCAACTAGTCTGAATTGCTGCGGTATCCTATCGCACTCGCTCTGTGGATTTCATGCCGACCGGTTGTGCCCCCGCGATCTCCGACAACAGCGCAGCTCCGGCCGACTGCTGGGCTCGCCCTACGCCATCTCCTGAAGCCAACAAGAGCATTCGCTGAGTGGTGCCCCGTCCTCGTACTCCTGCGACCGTGTCCATCTTTCCTATCTCCTCTTTACTTCCCTCGTTTTCCGTCGTTCGCTGTCCCTGCGCCTCACCCTATTCTTCCTCTCTCTATCTATATACCTTTAAATCCTATCCTTTCAATTCCTCTTTACCCCCATCCCTCGTAAGGTACTGTTGAGGTGTCGCACTCTGATGCAGACAGTTACGGGGCTCACTCTTCTCTTCTCTTTGAGAGCCACATAAGAATTTTAAGTTCTTGATTAAAAATGTTTAAATTACTCCAACTTCCCCGCCTAGTTAACCAGCAAAATGGAATTGGAAGGGCACATGCCGACTCACCGAAGTAACGTTCCCGGCGCAGTACTCTTTCAGATTCTCATCGGCGCACACCTTTCTCAGGTCGATCCTGCGAGTGCACGATTGGATTAGAAAAATTCCCACTCAACGTATGTCAGCCGCATTTTTAAATCGAACCTCGATCGCACTCATAAATATTATATTTTGTGAGTGTTCAAAAAAAAACAAAAAGCAGCCAGACTTTTTGTGTCGTATAGGCAGACATTCACTACGTCGTCCCTCGGAGAAACGTGGTACCCACTACACCTTTAATTGCGAAACATTTTGTGCATTTTCTTTTCATGATAAGACTAACGATGAGAAAGAATTGTGCCCGAAGATTTCGTAATGGGTCGGAGCATCCGATGACCCACTCGTTACGCAACTCACATTGTGTGATACCTTGTTGTTCTAAAACGCTTTATTACTTGTGGCGTATTCAGTTGCCCGCTCTGGACCTCTGGTCCAGAGTCGCCAGATGCAGGGGCAGCTTGCAATCGGAGCGCGAGAGGCAGCGTACCGACCGAATGCATCGGCGATCTGATGATGAATTCCAATGGCGGAGTCGGAGCAAGTTTTTCTGCTCCTTTAAGAGCAAGTGCGTTCCAATGACAGAGTGAGAGCGAAAGTCAAAAGTTCCAATGTGAGAGCCGGAGGGGATTAAGAGCGGGAGTCCCTCCGTGGAGCAGGAAAAACTGCTCCGCCGAAATCGGTGGAGTGGAGCGGAACTCAGCGAGACGCATTTCCTTTAACACGTTTGCCTGCTTGGGGGCGCGGCTGGCGCGGCGCAAGTTGTGTTGATAATGGCGGACGGCATGGACGGCTCGGCTACCTCGGCAAAGCGTGCGGCAATGCTTCTGCTACTCGATAGCGATAGCAGACGTCGTGGACAATAGCTGTTGCACGCTTGGCGTGATATCCATTCCACACAGGTGAATAGCGCTGAACAAGCAAACTAACGATGCGGCGATGCTGGTAAACCACGTGGGAAACAGACAGCGGAAAAGACCACGCGCAAGGTATCCTGGGTAACGCGGCAGCTTCCGCCTTGCTCCAGCAGGGCGGGTTGTGTTCCGATGGCGGATTTGGAGGATTTTCTCTACGCCAGAGTCGAGTGCTCGCTCGCGAAGTCGGTCGGCTGCACCGACTCCGCCATTGGAATTCAACATCATGAGAGTGCCCAGAGCAGCACGCCTGTAGCGCCATCGTGCCGCCAGTGCGGAAAGCTGCCGAGTAAACATTGCTGCGCCGCATCAGCAAATGGTGCCGATCAATCAGTTCAGTGGATATCTGACATGTCTGACCTTTCTTATATTCTCTCTCTCTCTGACATGTCTGGGCAAAGCGAAAGCCTTCTGAGCTGTGCACACAAATCTGGCAATCGTTCTTGTCTGTACTGCTATATTCAAGGCAAATCACGAGCCTGCCTGCGAGCTGCTGTAACGAAGAATTGACGTTTCCCCCACTTTCGTTAGCCGCATCGTTATTGACGTGGTGCATTTATGGCATCGTAAATGTGATTAAGCCGCACACGTGCGTAAAAAATGCCATTAACAACGCACGTGTACGAAGTATTACGCTCCCGGCAATGATCTCATCCGTAATACACGCTCGCGCTCCTCACCTCGTTCACCTGCCGGCAGCCACGTGATTGGCCGACTTGTGTCACGTGATCTGTCCTCTCGGTCGGATCACGCCACGTTCGCACGTCGAATTCAGAGTGGTCGGGAGCGATCTGAGTTAGAAGCCGACGCTCTGAATGAGCCAACGTTACTAGAAAAAAGTATCTAGTAACGTTGGAATGAGCCAACCGAAGGCGCTCGAATCCTACCAACTGAAGGCGCAGCTACTTTTTAGAGTGCTCGAAAACGCCCAACCGAATACGCTATTATATTAACGCGATTCTTTTGCCAACATCATGCCTGTCTAGGGTCAGTTTTGGACAGACTTCCAAGTCAGGCTCAAACAACAAACACCAAAAAGCAGGCTTGGCTCAGTTGCAGAACACTGGGCTGGCACGCAGCTGACCCGGGTTCGAATCCCTCCATGTTCATGGTGTTTTCATATACTAAGTTCTTTTATTTTATTGCGAGAGATATGGTTACGGACACCGGCGGTGTACAAGTACGGCGCACGCGATTTTGAGTAAACTCAACGGCAGGAGAGATGTGAGCCATCCGATTGTAAGTGGTTCAGGAATAGTTGTTGACGATTTAGAGTATTTGGTACTCCACTGTGGGCCTCATAATTTAGAGTACTAATTACTCTACTATGGAAGGGTTTAAAAGCCGTCCCATGGGCCTCACATACTTTGTGAGCAGCAAGAAGGTTTGGACGTTCGATAGACAATGATACCTGAGGGGGGGGGGGGGGGGTGTAGAAAAAGTGGGTAACAATTTAGAGTACTTCGTACTCAACTATGGGAGAGCTTAAAGCCGTCCCGTCCCGATGGAGATTCCATTGAGACTTCGTTCACATCGTTAACATAAAAACTGATGAAAACGGAGGCACTTGTCAACCTAAAAGAATGCGGCCCTCAAAAGTGCACCGGTCTCACGCAGGTTTGTATGCGCCGTCTTGCAATAAATCTTAGATTCCCAAAGGTGGACTTGAAGCCAATTCGCTGCTTTTTCATGCAGTAGTTTGATTTTTATTAGGGTCACTTGGTTTTTTTTCTCTCTTGCCACATTTTGTAAACGCATGGCCACCTAGAAGTGCAGCGGTTTGAGCTAGGTGGTATGACATTACAATATAGTTATAGCGTCTCCTTGTCTCTTTGTCGTCGTTGTGTTCTCGTGCTATATATGGTTTCAACGTCACAAGCGTTGCACCCAAGAAAACTTCCGGTCACCTCCTTTATCAGACTAAATTTCAAGGCCGAAAGGCTGCCGCAGTGACGTCAGAGGGTGGGGGCCCAGTTACGCCGCGAACGCGGCGGAAAGCCTGTGTTTCGTTCACGATTTAGGAGAACCAACGCTCCCGCTCTCGCAGCTGCTGCGGCTTGATTGGGCCGAATAAAAGATGTGGAAAAAAAATGGCAGCATATCCACGGAGTGAATGAGGGAGAGTGGGGCGAAGCATTCGTTCGTCCATGCGTCCGTCTGCGTGACCGTCCATGCGTCTGTTCGTGCGCCCGTCCCTGCGTTCGTTCATGCATCCGCCCATGCGTCCGTTCATGCGTCCATCCATGCATCTGTCTGTGTGTCCGTTCGTCCATCTATTCAACACTCCAAGTCCCACCATCTCGCATCTATTTATCATATATTCAGCATATAGAAGCACCGCCATGAAGCGGACATTCCAAGGACTAAACGAGAGGTGGCACACGCACACTATCTTACGGCTTGCGCTTCGTGTCTACTTCCCACCTTTAACCACCTCGAGTTCATTGTATATACTAGTTCACTGTATTCATGGCACTGCGGCCCAACGCTCGCTAAACCTTTACCTTTCTAAAACCAACGAGGTTACGCCCAGCGAGTATAAGGTAGAAACCCTTTCTTGTCAGGTAGTGCTCAATGTACACGCCAATGGCCGCTAATGGGGAATGAGAGACAGGAGAATCCGGCTTTTAGTTAACGCGCACGCTGCGAATTTTTTATTGTTTAACAACGCACAGGAGAAATCTCCCACCGGAACCACCTTGCAAGTCAAAGCGTAAAACATGTTACGCCCTACTATGAAGGGCGAATGGGTGCCGCCTTAAGGAGCTTCGCCCCTAAAACTGCCGGGCACAGCAGTGTTTCGGTGTAAAGGCAGAGGAGTAAACGCTCATCCGCCTTTGTAAGGGCCTTACAGGTTTTTTGATAAATTGAAAGGCCGAATCGGTAAAATTAAGTAATTTCGCGAAATGTTAAGGCTGGATTGGGTTCGACATCCATTTCGGAAGGGTCTCCGGAGAGTGAGCGCGCGGGCGGTGGCGTAAGCCGTTTCATTGTCTTCGAGGCCCATGTGACCTGGAGCCCATACGATCCTTCGAGACGCGGGGCGCCCGCGTAATTGCTGTTTTGTGAGATGCGGTACGTCAGATGTGGCACATAAATACCCGCGTTGGATATTTCTGCATGCTTCTCTCGAGTCTGTAATGATGACGCTCGAGTCCAGGACTGCGACAGCTAGTGCGACGGCGACCTCTTCCGCATATGTTATGTCCTGTGCTTTGAAAGCGAGGCCATTCACCGCAACATTTTGGTTGAAGACTGCAGCCGTGTACCATCCCCCATGGGAAAGGGCCGGAAACGTCCACGTAAAAGACGCCGTGCTTGTTCCCATAGTGGCGGGCCAGTGCCTCCTCCCGCACAAGGCGCCTGCCACTGTGGTCGTCACGTGTCATGTTGGCCGGAAGAAGGCGCACGTGCAGGGCATATCTTCAGACTTCTGGAATGCGTACGCGCTCCTCCGTCTCTGTTAGATGTTGGATGTGCAGTCGGGCTAATAGGCGGCTACCCGACGGAGTCCTCGAAAGTCTCGTCTATTGAGTGGTCAAGTGTGCCTCCTGGAGCACTGCAATAGTGTTTACCATCTCCAGGCCCAAAAGGCGCTGGTTGGACGTGGTTATTGGGAGATTGAGGGCACGCTTGTACATCTTCCCGAGAATCACCTCGAGGGCGTTCTCGTCAAACTTGCGCAGGTAGAGGTAAGGAGCCGAGTAGAGGACCTTACGCAGTTTTGTCAACGTTGTATCAAGTCGGCGATGTTTGTGAATGAACAGACCCAGTACTCGGATCTCATCGTGTTCTGGGATGGGTCCGCTTTGCAAGGACAGTTCAATTTTGGTAGTGCACTGCAGGACCCAATAAAGTTGTTCGTCTGTCTGTCTGTTCCTCACGATTACATTCGGAAAGGTGGGGCGTTTTATTATTTTTTTTTTGCTCACACCCGACGTTTTACTTGAGTTGAAGGACTCTGGTTTTACCTCGAGCTTTAAAAACTTCGCTCTGAAAACGAGGAAATTTGCGCGTTTCAAGTTCATTAAGTGTTTCCCGTGCACACTGTACACAAGTGCACGCACCTTTTGGGGCACCTCTTAGCTCCATCCCAGCAATTTGTGTGCGACAAAACACGACAACC